GATGCCTCAGTGTATTCTGGGATTTGCACTGAGATCTTTAAGGAGGAATCTGTGATTCATCAGAGGAAAATCTTCAGCTTCATTCATCTGAGCGTTCAGGAGTTTCTTGCTGCTTTCCATGTGTTTTACTATCATATGAATACAACTATGGAGAGACTGAAGAATTATGCTTCAGTACAAAATTTGCTTAAAGGAGCAGTAGATAACGCCATTGAGAGTGAGAATGGACATCTGGATCTGTTCCTGCGGTTCCTGCTGGGCGTCTCACTGGAGTCCAATCAGAGACACTTACAGGATCTACTGACACACACAGAGAACAGCTCAGAGAGCATCAGGAGAACCACACAGTACATTAAAGGGAAGATCAGAGATGGACATGGACTCTCCACTGAAAGATCCATCAATCTGTTCCTCTGTCTGCTGGAAGTGAAAGATCAGACTCTGTCCAGAGAGATTCAGAAGTTTGTGAAATCAGACAAACACTCAGAGAAGAAGCTCTCTGCTGCTCACTGCTCAACAATCACCTACATGCTTCAGATGTCAGAGGAGCCGCTGGATGAGCTGGACCTCAAGAAATACAACACATCAGCTGAGGGAAGAAGAAGACTGATACCAGCTGTGATCAACTGCAGAAAAGCTCTGTGAGTATTTACTTGCTTTTTTAAGTTAAGATATAAATCTGACGAGTCACAGTATCTCTTTTTAAAGTACCCTTACGAAAAAGAAGTTTATTCAAGTGTGCTATTAGTATACTTCTTTAAAGCTAAACATAGGAAAGTATACTTTCAGTCTAATTTTTATGTACTTCTCAGACATGGGCTTTAAGTACTTCTCAAAAATATACTTAAAATGACATTTAAGTATACTTGACTTATACTTAGAAAAAGTCTAAATATATTTGAGCAATACTTGTGCTCCGAGAATATTTTCATTGTTATACGGTAGGGGGCGCTAGTACACATCTTCTGTACAGAATATCCAAAACACAAGTGAAGAAGAAACCGAAACAACAGATGCTTCCACATGTAATCTAACACGATCATCAGACATAAAACAGCATCAAAACTAACGTGTAACGTTATGGAATAAAATGTCGACCAATGAAGAGGTAATAATGACTGTCAAGCTTTGGGGTGTTGATCGACTCCATCTACGTTTTGATTATCATTCTGAGTCTTTTTCAGCTTTTTGTTCAAAATCTTGTTTATTTCTTTATTTTTTCAATATTTTATTTATGAAACTTTCCCACATTCAAGAGTTTTAAAAAAGAATGCATGAAGCTAGAATAAAATGTTTTTGTTTACAAGCAGATACCCTCTTCTTTCTTTTGATGTTTTGTAAGTTCAGATATTCATATTACAAAATATATATAAATTAATACCTAAATAGGGACGTAGTAGTATACTTAAAGTATGATGTAAAGTTCACTTAAAGAAAACTTACGAGTATACTTGCAGTATAAAACTACTAAACTAGTAGTTTACTGAGACTATACTTCAAAGTGTACTAAACTGTAAACAGTATACCTATAAGTTCACTTTTAGTATAGTTGCAGTACAAACTAAAAACAGATGTAAACTAGTTGTGTACTCAAAGTTTACTACTGTTATACTCAAAGTATACTTTTATATACTAGAAAGTGAGCCAATTTTGTCCCAAGAAGTATTGAAATAGTACACTTACAACAAGTATACTACTAGTACAAGGATATTTGTATACTTACTAAATAAAGTATACTTAAAAATATAAAATATGTACTTTATAAAATATAAAATAAGAACTTTACTTAAGTATACTTAATAAAATAAACTTGAAGTATACTAATTTTTGGTAAGGGTAATTATAATTTGCAAGAGTTAAACTGATATTAAAATTTGCAGACAAAAATGTGCAGAGTCAAATTAACAATGCATAAACAGTGTTTTACTCCTTTTCAGTTTTGCTGGCTGTAATCTCACTTCCCAGTCCTGTGAAATTGTGTCATCAGTTCTAAAGTCCTCAAACTGTGTCCTGAGAGAGCTGGATCTGATTAACAATGACCTGCAGGATTCAGGAGTGAAGCTGCTCTCTGATGGACTAAAGAGTCCAAACTGTCAGCTGCAGATACTGAGGTATTAAGAACAAACAAGGGATAATATACAGTTAGCCAGTCATAATGTTTGTGTGTCTGTAGATGATCTGACCGTGTGTCTGTAGATGATCTGTGTGTGCCTGTAGATTAACAGACTGTGTGTCTATAGATGATCTGTGTGTGTCTGTAGATGATCTGACTGTGACTGTAGATGATGTGAATCTGTGTGTCTGTAGATGATCTGACTGTCTGTAGATGATCTGACTGTGACTGTAGATGATGTGAATCTGTGTCTGTAGATGATCTGTGTGTGCCTGTAGATTAACTGACTGTGTGTCTATAGATGATCTGTGTGTGTCTGTAGATGATCTGACTGTCTGTAGATGATCTGACTGTGACTGTAGATGATGTGAATCTGTGTCTGTAGATGATCTGTGTGTGCCTGTAGATTAACTGACTGTGTGTCTATAGATGATCTGTGTGTGTCTGTAGATGATCTGACTGTCTGTAGATGATCTGACTGTGTGTCTGTAGATGATCTGTCTGTGTCTGTAGATGATCTGATTGTGTATGTCTGTAGATGATGTGACTGTGTGTCTGTAAATGATCTGACTGTGTGTCTGTAGATGATCTGACTGTGTCTGTAGATGATGTGACTCTGTATGTCTGTAGATGATCAGTCTCTGTGTGTCTGTAGATGATCTGACTGTGTGTCTGTAGATGATCTGAATCTGTGTCTGTAGATGATATGACTCTGTATGTCTGTAGATGATCAGTCTCTGTGTGTCTGTAGATGATCTGACTGTGTGTGTCTGTAGATGATGTGAATCTGTGTCTGTAGATGATCTGACTGTGTCTGTAGATTATGTGACTGTGTGTCTGTAGATGATCTGTCTGTGTCTGTAGATGATCTGATTGTGTATGTCTGTAGATGATGTGACTGTGTGTCTGTAAATGATCTGACTGTGTCTGTAGATGATGTGACTCTGTATGTCTGTAGATGATCTGACTGTATGTGTCTGTAGATGATCTGACTGTATGTGTCTGTAGATGATCTGACTGTATGTGTCTGTAGATGATCTGACTGTATGTGTCTGTAGATGATCTGACTGTGTCTGTAGATGATGTGACTCTGTATGTCTGTAGATGATCAGTCTCTGTGTGTCTGTAGATGATCTGACTGTGTGTGTCTGTAGATGATGTGACTCTGTATGTCTGTAGATGATCTGACTGTATGTGTCTGTAGATGATCTGACTGTGTGTCTGCAGATGATCTGTGTGTGTCTGTAGATGATCTGAATCTGTTTCTGTAGATGATGTGACTGTGTGTCTGTAGATGATCAGTCTGTGTGTGTCTAGATGATCTGACTGTGTGTGTCTGTAGATGATCTGACTGTGTGTCTGCAGATGATCTGTGTGTGTCTGTAGATGCTCTGAATCTGTTTCTGTAGATGATGTGACTGTGTGTCTGTAGATGATCAGTCTGTGTGTGTCTAGATGATCTGACTGTGTGTGTCTGTAGATGATCTGACTGTGTGTCTGCAGATGATCTGTGTGTGTCTGTAGATGCTCTGAATCTGTTTCTGTAGATGATGTGACTGTGTGTCTGTAGATGATCAGTCTGTGTGTGTCTAGATGATCTGACTGTGTGTGTCTGTAGATGATCTGACTGTGTGTCTGTAGATGATCTGTGTGTGTCTTGTTGATGATCTGAATGTGTATGTCTGTAGATGATGTGACTCTGTGTGTCTGTAGATGATCTGTCTGTGTGTGTCTGTAGGTTGTCTGGCTGTATGGTGACAGAGGAAGGCTGTGGTTATTTGTCTTCAGCTCTGAGTTCAAACCCCTCACACCTGAGAGAGCTGGATCTGAGCTACAATCACCCAGGACCATCAGGAGTCCAGCTGCTCAACCACAAACTGGAGGATCCAAACTATACACTGCAGATAGTCAAGTATAAAGACAACTATAGTTGCATGATTGAGAACAAATATTTTGCATGTCTTTGTGTGTGTGTGTGTGTGTGTGTGTGTGTGTGTGGTAGGGGTTTTCTAATGCAAAATAAGTTCATATTCTAAAGTTAACCATTGGCCATCAAAAATAATAATCAGTTCCTCCAGGATTTCACGGGACTTTTTTCAGATTTTTGCGGCCTAAAATGACTGATTTTGCTGCGGCTTTTCTCAAAATTTGCAGTGATATTTGTGACATTTCTTATTGTTTTGCAGTGAAAATATACCACAGACAACATTCATCTAACATTGTTATGTTTTTTCTGACTTCGAGAACCATTGTAGGGCTCCAGACTAACATTTGAAGACACCAGCACCAGTACTGTTAAGTTCTGGTCAAATAGACATTTATTAAAATGCATGTAAAACTGCTTCTGAGATGTTTATCAGATTACACAGCAGATGTTTCCCAGATCTTTAGCAGACATCTTACAGATGTACATGTACTTGTGTTATCTAGGTAGTTGAGATGCAGATAAAATTAACTTGTATTACTGTCATTCAAAATTTATAAATATAATTTAATAAATACAAAAAATATATATTAGGGAGTGGAAATGGCTTCTCTGCAGCCATCTATTAGTGGTAAGTTAATGTCTTTTTATTTTTAAATAAGTGTTTGCTTTCCTACATTTTGAAACTTTTAGTTTTATAAATGGGGGCAACCTATGAAGGATGAACAAATCATGTCATCACATTAAAAATAACTTTCAAATTCACTAATAGCTTTGAAGTGATGGGAAAAGTTGTGTGAAGCATTTAAAAACACTTAAAAACATCAGACCATTTCTGCCACAAGTTGTTCCTGTAGTTTTACTATGTTAAATCCATGGTGAATGGTGGTGATTTGTGTTTTTTGAACAATGTTTTTCCTGGTTTCCACATAAGCAGCGTTTGTTCTGATATCTGTAGCTTTAACAGAATTCTGCGCCGAATTTGAATGCTTCTCACTAGATTTCACAGAGATGTTATTGATTCTGCGGCGAATTCGACTGCTTTCTTCACTGTATCTCCCAGCCCTGTGTATAACGGTGTCCCGAGCAAATAAACTGTCTGCGCTGTGTAGTAAGCGAGTAGCACGGATTCGTTCTGCTTTCGGTTCGTTTGTCCAATGTAGCTCTTGTAAATCGGTCATGATGAGAATGCAAGGCTGTTCATTCCATTTTTGGAACCTTTCTTTGACTGAATGCGCATTGCGATGACATGGACGCGTCTAAGCGCAAAATCCGCGGAAAATCTGCAGCAATTACGAAAATTTGCAAGCTCTTGCGAAAATTGTGGAGTTTGCTTGATTTTGCGATAAATTCAACGATCGCAGAATCGCAAAATCCTGGAGGGACTGATTAATGTTGGTTGTCATAACATTTTCTCTATATACCGAAAATGTTAAAACTGTGAATCTGCGTAGGGTAAAATAAATTGAACACATGTCAGAAACTGCTTTCACACAAGTAATCAAACATTTGTGTTACTATCTAGTTTGGACCATGGAGACCATTTTAGGATCACACGAGGTCTGCGTAAATGTAGGTTCTTCACCTCACACACACGTTTAAGAGTGTTTTGAACCATCTTTGACACATTTCTCATCTCTCTTTTTGTGTTCAGATTTCTTTAATCTCACACTGGATCCAAACACTGTAAACAATGATCTCATTCTGTCTGAGAACAACAAAAAGGCGACATGTGAGAAAGTGATGCATTTTTATCCTGATCACCCAGAGAGATTTGATGGCTGTGAGCAGGTTCTGTGTAAAGAGAGACTGACTGGACGTTGTTACTGGGAGGCTGAATGGAGCGGCTGGAGTTATGTAGCAGTGACATATAAAGGAGTCAACCGGAAAGGAGGGAGCGACTGCTGGTTTGGATACAATGACAAATCCTGGAGTCTGGACTGTTCTGAGAACAGATTTACTGTCTGGCACAATAAGAGCACTGATGTATCAGTCCCTTCATGCGGCTCTAATAGAGTAGGAGTGTATGTGGACGTGTCTGCCGGCACTCTGTCCTTCTACAGCGTCTCTGACACACACACACTCACACACTTACACACATTCAACACCACATTCACCGAACCCCTCTATGCTGGGATTGGGGTTTATGGATCATCCGTGTCACTCTGTCAGATTTAACAATAGAGACAGAAACACACACAACTAAGTGAAAGAAGTATCTTCACTTAATCTTTAAAAGTAAACATATAATCTTCTAATTGTTGTGTTGTTTGTGTATGTAATGGGGTCGTGTGTTTGTTTTAATTGAACCAAGAGAAACTTCTCTTCAGACACATAGACTACATGAAAGTAAGTTTTCTCTTTTTACTGTGACACATTTTTGTCTCCTTAGCCTGTCATTGCAGTTTCACTGTTCAGCAGCGTGTCTCTGTAGAGCAGCAGTTCTCAAGTCAAGTCCAGGGACTCAACACTCTGCACAGCTGACATTTGTATGTCTTCATTAATTAACAAACGTGATTCAGATCATCAGTTCAGAAGGAGAAAGCTCCATGAACTGAACTGAGTGTGTCAGATCAGAGAGACATACAAACTGTGCAGAGCAGTGGTTCACCAGGACCGGAGTTGAGAACCAACAGTGAAGAGTAAGCTTTTTAATATAACCTTTAAACTTAAGTTCTACATTGTATGAATCATTTATGTTTAACAATGCATTTGTATCTGTCCATTTGTTTTTTGTATTTGTTCATTTTGGTACATTTATTATTGGTAAGAATATTTAGTTAAAGTTAGTTTGTATTTGTTTATTGTTGTGGCCTGTCTAAACTCTGAATTTCTGCTTCCATAAGGTGATAAAATAAACATGCATAAGTAGAACTGTATAGTTTTCATTTATGTTAGAAACTGATATTTGAATGGGGTCAAATCCACTCCCCCTCTTTAAAAGGATTTGCTAACATACTGAATATTATCTTTTAGAGTAAATTAATGTATAATTAATAAATGTATGAACAAATATTTTTATGTTGGATTTAATATCAGCATACTCTGCCATTTGACAATGCCCTTTACAAACAATATATTTTCAATTCATATTTTAATTTGCCATGTTCAGGTCACATAATTTGTGAGTTATATGTCTTCAACATTGACAAACAAATTTGACCCTTTTCTGACTTTTGATTGCGTCTGTCTGTAGATGTTCTATCTTGTAGAACTTTGCAAATTAACAAATTATTCCAACAAAACTTGAAAGTGAAAGCGAGTGAAAACTCACTTTCACAGCAGCTCTTTTCTCTTCAGAGAATTGAAACTCATGAACCAATCAGTCTTCGAGAGGCAGCGACACATCAGCCAATCAAAATGAAGAAACTATTCATGGAAAATGTGGGAGTGTGTTTGCTGGCTGACTGTCTTGTGACACTAGAGGATGTTATTCACACTAAACACTGACCTACAGTAAGACTAATCAAGCTCATGTCTGTCAAACACATAAGAGCCATTTATATTAAAATTTTCACTTCTCTCATTCTAATGAATCACGGCATCATTGATCACAGCAGAATTGACCAGAAATACAACTAAATACGGTGTTTAGTGAACAGTTTATCTCTGGTAATCTTATAAATACTTATTCATGCTTTACCATGAATATGTCAAAAGCAACTAAGGTCGTAAGTTCAGTCGTTACCAATAGAGTTCAATGGAATATACCCATAAATACATATATATATATAGAGAGAGAGAGAGAGAGAGAGAGAGGAGCAGAACTAAGGACACTGGCGATACATCCACAATGCACAAACAAAATAAAATCAAAGGACAGAAAACAAAGAACCACGAGGGAAATCCAGACAATCCAGCAATCTGACCACTGTGCGCCATGAGCGAGAGATGACTGACACACATGAAGATCACGCTGCTTGACTGCAAGGTAACACACACCTGTGATTACACTGTGTGCTACTAGTTTGTTTTCATATGGGTGGAGTGAAAGGAAGACAAGACACACCTCAAACTATGGAGAAATGAAAGAAAAATAAGAAACAGAGACACCATTTTGAGGCTATAAAATTGCTAACTTTTGGTATTTAAACAGCCACATCTCTTTTGGTAAGTTCAGAACGTATTCTTATAACCATGTTTTTGTATAAAATAACTGCTATTTCAGTTTTGATCTGTAGTTCACATGGGATTCCTAACCTGAATCATATTTCAGCACTTTGACCAAACTAACTGATCAAAATGGTGGAAACATTGAGGATTAAAGTTGTTACTTAAATAACTTTGATATTTACTTTAGATTTACTTCAGTTTTGTTATATATAACAGATAATGTCACATGTCCTAAACGAGGAACATTTGACATTCAATTATTCTAAGTTTGATGCCTTTTCATTAACAGGACCATGCAGAGGCATTTTATATACAGTGATCAAATACGAACTATAGAGTTTCTGGTTTTAGAGGGACCAGAAATAATCACCTCATCTTTATAGACATAGTGTTTCTTGAGCACTGTTTGTTTTATGGAGAACTTGGTTAATCAGTCCAATAAGAGACTAACTACAACTCTACTTTTTTATCAAACAAATGTGCATTGAAAATGTCCACACATTTATCAAACTGTGACCAGGTAAAAACCATATAGAAAGTGGCTCATGGCCAGAGAGAGCACTGGCAAATGTTGCCAAAGATTTATTATGATGCAAGAAAGCCTCGTTTACTGAAATCATACGCTCCAAATCTCAAAATGGAGTCATTGTGAAAAACTTTAATATTAGTCAATAACAAAAAGAATGATACATTGTTATATTTTTTGGAGAAATTCTTTGCATAGTAACCCTCTCACCATTCATCCCCAATTGCTTTGGTTCTTTAATTTGTCTCTAGGAAAAGGAAGTATTTGATTGTTACATTTTTGTTTTGTTTTCTCATCTTGTCTGTCTTTTTTTATTCGCATTTATTTTTTTTTTGTAGACTATCTGGTATATTATAATAATAATAGTAATATTATTATTATTAACTATCCCTCCCTGTATATCTGGTGTCATTTTTTGTCAAACTAATTTAATGAATTAATGAAAGAATACGCTCCGAATCTCTGATTCAAAACAAATGACTCACAGATTCACAAAGCAGTTTTTCAATTGTGAGGCTCATCCGGGTAACCGAATCTTGAGCGAAGCATGAGCATGCTGTTCTTTTTACGGTGTATCACGCAGTTAATGCTCTAGTAGCGATTCTGACGCAACATACTTAGTCATGCAGATGTCATTCCTTGTGAATATAGCATAAATTCATACTTTGATGACAATGTGCATCTGTTTATATAAAGACATCCTGAATGTGTCCACAAATAACATAATTTATATTTTCTTTAGCGAAGAAAACTCATTTTAAAATGGTCAAACAGCAAATTACTTATTATTTCCTTCAGTTCTTGAAAGGCACTATATAAATAAAACATTATTATTATTGTTATTATTATTATTATTATATACATGCCAATATTTCAAAGATATTGTAGATATTTAACACATTTTCACATGTGTACTGCTTGAGTGGATGTACTGCATGGCGATATAAAGTTATATCCTACTTTTTGTTTTATTCAAAGAATGTCCGGTATAGAATTCACCAAAAACTCACAGCACACAAAAAGTCTAGGTGCGAAATGTCACAATAATCCAATAATATAATAAATACGATTTATTATATGGATTGTGTACATCCTAAGCAACTGAATGCAGAATCATCACTGTTATGTTTCCTTTGAATTGTGTATGGTGCTAGTTCGTTGCGATGAATTATCTAGTAGGCTAATTCATATTCTATTTGTTTTCAATTCACTAGTAGCTATATATATTTTGTATACAGATCAACCGGGGTTTTTTTGACCATGTGATTTTTTTGTGACTTATGCAATCATGTGATCTTTGTTTTAAGATGTCTTTTGCGCCTGCACTGTAAACAATTATTGTCATTTTTAACTGTGAAAATTGTAAAAATGCTAGAGTAAAATTTGATTTGTTGTCAGTGTTGCTTGCAGTAGCACATGCAATAATGCAAAATGATAAATGTTAAACAAATGCTTGTGCATTTGGATGTCTTTAATAAAATGCGTTTAATAGTTTGTGCTTTGATCACAACCACATTGCTTCTCCTGTAAGCAGGGTTAAAAACAAACAAGTAAAACTATAGCATGCATTTTTGAAGCACATGTTTTTATTGAACTCTGTATTTATTTATTTTCTTCTTTTTTTTTTCTTTGTGGGTCAAATGCTTCAAGAAGCTACGCCTTGAATTCTGAGTGAAGCAAGTAGAACAGGTAGAACAGCTCCAGTGGAAGTGAAAGCAGAAAGATAGTTCAACTTTCATTGTTAAGAAAAGAGGCGGACAAAGCAACATTGAACAGTGGGATATTTTTCATGGTAAGTACATGTTTAAAGCTACATATTACAGTTTAAAGCTATAAATATATCCGCCTGAAGCCCTTTTTGTAGGAGTTCACTTGCTTGGCTCACATTTGTTCGACCTGTCTATAAATTGTACAATGTGCCCCATGAATGTGTTTTGCAACAACAAAGTAAGCTACAGTGACAAAGTAATATTATAGCTTACAGAAAAGATATAGCAGATTATATTGAATAGCTTGTAAAGTGGTTGTGTAAAAGTGTTGTGCTGAAATCAGTAGCATCACTTTACTGCCAGTGCTGAGATTTTTAGCATTTTTTGGTTATTGTTGAGGTGTAGTGGGTGCGGATCTATGTGTTCCTCTTGAAAGACTTTGTCAAACGGAGAACACGACTTTATTTAACCACATCAATCTTTTTGTTGTACGCTGCATTTGTTCACTTATTAAATTGATTACTTATGTATTTGCCCTTCATGAACAGGTGTGAAATGTTTTTATTATACTATTATTATAAATTTTTGTAACATTTTTATTTTTAGTTAATTTATTTTTTGATGTTGCCCTGTAAACACATTTTGCTGGTCGTTATGGGGTGTGTGTGTGTGTGTGTGTGTGTGTGTGTGTGTG